CTGTTTTACCCCAAACCAGGACAGAGTGACAGCCTTGTGTCATGGGGCTGGGCAAGTCCTGCCTCCTGGGAGAACATCAGGAAGCTGTGCCCCTCTTTGGGTTGGGGCCAGAGCGGCTGTAGCCATGAGCTGCAGCATCCTGCAGTCTGTTATCATTGGTGAAAGGTGGCACATGGAGCATTCAGAGTAATCTTTCAGACTAAGTTGATGACCCACCAAAGGGTTTGGATGCCACTGTAATAAAACTCCCAAGGAAAAAAAGAATATCTAAAACTGCCTTGTCAAAGCACTGCCTTTCTTCACTGTTGAGCTATCATGCACTGTAGCTGTGGAGGGTCCTAACACCATGCAGATGACAGGCAGCTTGGCCCTGTCTGCTGAGCTAAGCTAGATCTCTGGCCACTGTAGGGAAGGGAGAGGAGTGTGTTGGCTGAAGGAGGACTTTGGGATGTGTTTGAAATATGTGAATTCTTTCCAAAACCCCTATTAGGCATATTTTGGAATCTTCAATCTCAGAGATAAGTATAGTTACCTATTCTCAAGGACTACTGAACTGCAGGAAGATATTGTTTGGGTTTGACCTTGCTGTAGATTTCCCATGTACATACAACTAATGCAAGCATGAAGTGTTCTGAGGAGTTGTTGGCATGTGCAAAGAGATGCTGGTTGGTTCACGTGATGTTTGCATCTCATCACAGCCCTTCGCTAGTAATCAACAGCAAATTGCTGCAGTTTAGGATAGACATAAAATCGCGGTGTCTTAACTTTTAAAGGAAGAAAAAATGGGGAAATTACAGCTATTACCTGGACAAGTAAGATACAAGTTTTAAACTGTGGTATTATTTCTGTGTTGTCTTTTTGTTTGATGGCAGGGAAGTTTTGGGTGTTCTGTATTGTTTAAATCGTGTATATAACCTAGAGTTAGTGGAGTCTCTCTGATAGAATCAGCTCTCAGTTCCAGAGTTGATGGGTAGGATGTTTTTTTCCTCTGTGCTTGCTCTCCCAGCATGTTGTTCTTCCTTCCTTCAGCCCCACTCTTGCCATGGCCCACAGGAATCTGACTGGGAGCTGTAATGTTAACTGTGGCTGTAAGATCCATGAGTATGAGCCCGTATGTGGATCAGATGGAATAACATATTTCAATCCTTGCCTCGCTGGCTGCATCAATGGTGGCAACCACAGCATGGGGGTAAGTGCTTCACCTGCCTAGCTGTGTGCAACCCACTTGTCCTTGGGGTGATGATGCTGGACGTAGAAGGTTGCTGGTTGAGAAGTACCGCAAGGCAGTTGTACCACGTCTCTGCCCAGTGTCTTTCTGACACAGGTTTTTCACATAGGAATGTCCTTTTTTCCTTCTCCCTAGGTAAGGAATTACACAGAGTGTGCGTGTGTCCAGAGTCGGCAGGTGATCACCCCACCGACAGTGGGGCAGCGCAGCCAGCTCCGTCTGGTCATCGTCAAAACCTACCTGAACGAGAATGGCTACGCCGTGTCTGGGAAGTGCGATCGGACCTGCAACACCCTGATCCCCTTCCTGATATTCCTCTTCATCGTCACCCTGATAACGGCATGCGCCCAGCCCTCAGCCATCATAGTGACACTCAGGTGAGGAGGTTTGGGGGTTTGAGGTCTCTGTGCTGTGCCTGCTGTCAGCAGTGCTGGTGCCAGAAGAGGCTGGGGTGGTGCAGCCCAACTCCTTCAAGCTGATATGTCCTTACAAATTGAGTAGAACAGGGCTGACCAGGACAGCGCAGAACTTGCTTGTGTTTAGAATAAGTAGAAAACTTACTCCACTTTAGGAAGCATGAAGTGCCCAGCGATTTCCAGGCACCATAAAGAGAGAACAAGTAAAAGCATCATGAAGAAAATTATTAGTTCTGAAGAAATTTTCAGCCTTCTTAGAGCAAGGATTTGCATTTTCACATGCAAATGAAAAAAAAGTTAGTGTTTAAAATTATCCCTTTCTCTGTCTCAAAACTGTTAATTCCTGCCTGTTCTTGAATTTCCCCTTTTTTGCTTCACAAGAATTTAGAAACTGTACAGTAGTAGTGCTGGTGCCACTGTGGTCATTTAAGGATAGAAAACAGCACAGCAACTTAATTATCTCTTAATTCTAATTTTTCTGGAAAAACCAAGAAAATAAAGCAAGACATCATATGAAATAATAGGAAACTATCATGAGAAGCCATAAGTATTTTGGATAAATTCTCTAAATTTCCTTAATGAATTTAGATTAAATTCCTCAGGCCTTACACAGGTGCGGAAAGGTTAAAAGGAATGATTGAGACTTTGATTAAGCAGGGATGAGAGGGGCTGGCTATACTTTAACACTATTAGAAGGTACATGGAAGAAATTTAGACAAAGTTTTTTTTTTTTTCTGTTGCTCAGAAAAAAGTCAGGAGGTACAGCGAGGAGATACTCCAATGATTGTCTGTTGTGATTGTTTCTTCAGAGGACTTTTTTTCTCGCCTGCCAGGTCTGTGGAAGACGGGGAGCGGCCCTTTGCACTAGGAATGCAGTTTGTTTTATTACGAACTCTTGGTAAGTCTCACAGTTACTCAGCATTTCCATAAAGGCTCACCTTTAATGTACCACAAAAGTGCTAAAGTTCCATAAAATCTACAACTAATTGCCTGTATTAGGAACCTAAAATTAGTAGCTTCTGAAAATGCTGTAGCTGAGAATGTATTTAATTTTTTTCATTGTTACTGGCTTTCCAGAACAACTATTTGTCCCAGAAATAGCTATTTTAGAGTTTCAAATGTTATTTAAAAATTAATAGTTACTAAATATGATTGCATAAGAACTTTTTTTTTTTTTAGGAAACAGTTTTTTATTGCTTTCAGCGGTGACAATAGTTTTTTGCATTTTTAAAAGAAGAAGCAATTGTTACTTAATGTCTAGTTTCAAATATTATAAAGCAAAAATGGTACACATTAGCATTCTTTATTCCACTAAGTAGTTTATTTCAGGCTTTTAAATGTCTGAAATCCTGCATGTAAAGAACATTCCAGGTGTTCAGCTACTACAGCACATACAAGCAGAGCCAGCATGGACTATGCTAGGAGAACAAGAGCAGAGCTATATAGAGTTTTCTTTTGAGGGAGATGCAACTCAAGAAGAGCTGTCTGGGACAGCAGGTTGAAGCAGTACCTGTTGTGAGGTGCTGCTGCATTGTCTTCCTCACTAGAATTCTTTCCCATTGGTACCTTTCATGTGTGGGATAAGTAGTATTGGTGGGAAGATCAGCTGACCAGTTTTCCATGTTTTACATTTCACGTGAGGACAGCAGTATAGAAATCTCAAAAATTCTCAACCCGCACTGTTTTGGCTAAGGCTTATAGTTTCTTCAGAAGTTCTCCACTATATGCTAACACATATTTTTTCTGTTTCTATTTTTATTTCAGCTTACATTCCCACTCCAATTTATTTTGGGGCTGTTATTGACACCACATGCATGCTTTGGCAACAGGATTGTGGCATACAGGGATCTTGCTGGGAATACGATGTCACCTCGTTTCGTTTTGTCTACTTTGGGTTGGCAGCTGCTCTCAAGTTCGTGGGTTTTTTTTTTATTTTCCTGGCCTGGTATTCCATTAAGTGTAAAGAAGAGCAACTGCAGAGACAGAGATGGAGAGATTCGCTGGTGAACACTGTGAGTGAAATGGTCGGCCAGGCAGGACCTCAACAAAACTATGCACGGACTAGATCCTGCCCGACCTTCAGTTCCCGAGGAGACATCAGTGTGGCAGAAGGAATGAATTGTGTAGCACAGACATATCCTGGTCCTTTTTCAGAAGCAATAAATTCTTCAAATGAAAATGCGTTGGAAGAGGTCACTGCTGAGATCTAGACCCCTGGCTTGGTAATGTAATATTCAGTTTTGTTGGTTGACTTAATTACGGCGCCTTGTAAAACACCTGTGCCTTCTATTTTTAATCTAAATGTAACACGTGATAAAACCAACAAAGCTTAATGCAAACCACCATAGTATGCTCCTGAGGGCTGTATACCTCAAACCAACCCAAATTCTCATTTCTGTCCTCCCGACAACGGAGTTTTAAAAATCAATTTAGATGTATCTGTTAAACGTCCATGCTCTGATATAATATCAGTGTAAAGGTGAGATAATATGAACAGCAGAAGTCAGTGGAAGAGTGACGACAACTCATATCGTTGTTGTCTAGACATCACAGAAATGCTTAAATGTATCGTCAGCTTCATATCTGCAAGTCGTATTTTTAAGAGATGAGTAATTACTGTGAGTTCTGCTACAAAGCACAACCAAACTTGTTTAAACTATGCAACTTACTTGGATAATTGTATGCGCAGCAAATTAAGTTTAAAGTTTGCTTTTAAGGACATTACTGGAACTGAATCTGAAAGGGGCTATTTTCAGGTATAAGTGTTAAGTTTAAAACAAACCATAAGGTTTAAAGTACTGTTAACAACCTGTTAAGCCATACAGAAGTTATGCATCAGGTAATGTTTGCAAACGTTAAGTCGTAATATCTTTATCCTGTTAAATTATAGGCATTAATTTCCATTTGATACGATGTAGTCATTCTTCACAAAGTACACAGACTAGGAAAGGGTAATGCTTGGAGTAAGAAACTTCAGAATTAATTTATAACAACATTAAGATGTAGGAATCATACACACATACCAGAGCAGATATGCACATGTTTCTACAATGTTGTTTGGGTGGTTGTTACTAGCGCCAAATCCATGCTTTTCCTGAAGAAGAAAACAACCAGTTATAGCCTGATGGGAAGAGCTTGGCTGTCCTTCAAAATGTGTGCCAGCCTAGTCCAGCCTCAGTGAAAAAATCTTGAGGAGGAGCTGATGACCTCATTGTATGTCTCAGGTCCACTTGTGTGGTTTGTTCCACACATGGCCACTTTTTCTTTTCTCAGCTTCATTGGAAGCTTCTGTGAAGGCAAAGGGCCAGTTGTCTCTCCTTTGCCCTTCCAGGGGAAGAGCTAAGAATAGAAATTATCTGCAAGTATGGACCCACAGGACATGATGTGTCCTTTGCTTATTCCAGATTACTGTAGTGTGTTTTCTCCCCAGGAGATGCTGAGAATTTCTAATCAAATGTGCTTGGCATTTCATTTCTTGCTCCAGAGGCTTTGTAGTGCCACATGTATGATGTACTAATGATGTCTCAAAGGACAGAGAATGATTTCAGGTGGACAGTAGGAAGTCAAAGCTGTATTTTGCCCTGCAGGGGAAGTCTTAGAGGTTTAGGAAATTAAAAGCACTCTTTTAAGAGTACTCGGTGATAGCCAGGTTTGGATTTTGCCATGTAGAGAGCTGGCATGAAAATAAATAGGAAAGAGCAGAACTTCTGCATTTTTTTGAATAGAGTTATTCCTGGTTTAGTTATTAATTTATAATACGTAAGTTGATCAAACATTGTACAGAATCAAGTCCTTGAAATTAAAGGCAGTACTCTCCTTGGCATCCTTTGCGTTGTCCTAGGAAGAGCAGCTTTCCCTCTCCTCCTTTGCTGGCTGCCTTACCTTGTCTCCTGGCACTTCTTGACCGGCATGTGGGACTGCCCGTGGGGCTGGTTCCCCTGCTTGAAACAGTGGTTGCTTATTTCAAAATCTCTCAGTCCGTTTATGTGGCTTGTAACAATTCCCACTTTCTCTCTCTGCAAACTCAGATGCTTCTACCCCAGACTACAATGTGGAGAAATTTTGTTTTAATTGTCTCCTGCTATTCTGGATGTACTAATGGCTTTTGGGGTTCAAGCCTGAGAATTGCTTTTTTCCTTTGTACAGCCACCAGGTATAATATCAGTCAGCATGTGCCACCTGAGATGTTAACCTCTACACTACTCGTCCTGAGGAATACTTTAGGAATACATTTCCTTGACTCAAAGGTATTTGGTGTATTTTTTTGCCATAGGAGATCAAAGTCGATGTATGTCTCCTTTTCCTCCAGTCTCAAATGCTTGTTGCACCAAGAATTTCCTGCTGTGGCAAAAATTGAGGCAGGGTCGTGGGACAAAGTGTAAATGCAGCCCATCACCCATCCACTTTAATCACTCATTTTAATCAGCACGGGGTGAGTTGAAGAGCGACAATCTTTCCGAATACCTCAGAAACAGAGTATTTCAGGAACTGAAAGACTGGAAATGAAGCATCTGTCCAGATTTATTCTGTTCCGTGCCTCATGTGCTTCTGTTCCACATGAATAACAAGGGAGGGCAGATGAGTCTGTCAGGACTGCAAGGAACTGACTCTGATGGCAGAGAATGAGAGTGATAGAAGTGACACTTCTGCAGCTGCTGCTGCTTCAGAGCTGACTTTAGCTGTATTCAGAGCTTGTTGGGGCGGAGAACACCTGCTTTGTAAGAAGTCCTGGCACTTCTGAAAACATTCATTTTTAGAACACTTGAGAAACTGCACTGTAGAGGAAAAGATGTGTTCACCTCAAAAATACTGGAAAAGCCTCTAAATTTTCCTTTCAAAATTATATGCAATACTTAACATAAAAATCGTCAGTATTTTTTGATAGGATTATTTTGACAATATTAATATATTTCTGCAAAATCACTTAATTGAATCAGCATCCTCTGAAAGAAAGAGAGCCCAAACTCTAGCCAGTTCTTGACTGATTCCCAAAGGAGGCTTTATTGTCAGTAAGCTCTAAGTCTAAACTAAGCCAATAAAGGCATGCAGGGGAAATACAATAACTTCCTAGAGAAGTCAACTCCAGTATTGTCAACATTGACAGAAATATGGACTGAGACCTGCTGAGCAAACACTATTTTCTGAGGTGGACTTTGCTGAAGGAACCAGAATTGCTGGAGGACTTCCATGCATCCCTTGCAGCAGTCACCATCGGTGTGTGGTGCTAAACCAGCTCATGGGAAGAAAAAAGGAGCTTTACCTACTGCCCATGCTGCCTTCTGACTGTGAAATCCCCTGACCATAAAGTTCCATTAACTTGTAATTTCTGCCGCTTTCCCTCTCTGGCCCCAGGCACTGAAGTCTGGATGGCAGCAAGCACAGGAAAAGGTCAAGCAGGGTCCTGCTCACCTATGGGCTGCTCTTGGCCCAGTCATCTACCTGCAGTTACCAGTTAGGGATGAGGAATATGGAGCAACAACATCTGGTGTTTAACCAAAGGTCCTCTGAGTGCCATCACAAGGACAGGCTAATTTACACCACATTTCTGATTTAAAGTGAGGGTCGTGCGTGTAGAAGTAGCCCCAGTAGGTGTGCTTAACTGAATGGGGGAATTGTCCCTGCGTAGGCTCACGTTTATCTGTTTCCTCAAAAGAGGGGAAAAATTCAGAAAGGGTAGTCTGTTGAGCTTTTGGGGCTGTGGTCCTGGCTGGAATATCTGGAGAGTGGGAATGTCTGTATTCCTAATTCTAAGCAAAGGCCCTCTAGTTTCAGTCCCCCTTCTTCCTCATTGACATACAGGATATAATGTGGTATAATTTAGAACTAGTGACATTTTATATCCTTTTAGTGCAGTGTGAGCAGCTGCAAGAAACGTGTTGTATATTCTGGTGCAATTTGTATTGAATTGGAAACTCAGTTCTTGGACCAGCCATTGTATCTTTAAAAGTTCATGTAGTAACGTGTGGTTCCTCAGAACTTGCTGTTCTGTGAGGTAGGGGCACAAATCTTCTCCTAGGTATTAGAAACGTAAGTTTGAAAGCCCCTAAATTAGTTACAAGCACTTGAGTGGAGTATTTAAAAAAATGTTTTCCTTTTTGAAATTGTAGCTTATTAATTCATAGCGTTAACCATTCATTAGGGCTCTGATCCAGGAGAACACTTAAATATTTGTGTAAGTTTATATACTTAAGTAATGCACTTAAAAAATAATGCACATATGTAAGTATTGGACTGAATCCCACCTGCATTCAAAAAGGAGATCCTTTACCCACAGTAATTTCCGTGGTGAACCTTTTATCCTGTGGATTCAGTGACTGTTGTAACCAGAGGAGCACAAAGTGGCCCTCGAGTGCTCCCCTGTGGCATTCACGTGTGGTTACTTAGATCTCTGGCAACAGACTAAAGCTTTCATTTTCAAACCCAGTTAAAAGGGAAACTACTTTGTGGACATGCTGAAAAATAGATTCTAGCTCTTCCCACCATTCACTTTATGAATTTCTGGCTGAAAATGTTTGTGTTACGTGGTAGGTTAATTGAGGGCAGCTTTCTGACCTCAAAGCCAGTGAAATTGCTTGCATAGTGCTGCAGGTTTGGGCTGTGCCCTTTCCCAGGACTTGGACCTAGAAGTTCAGGTGACAAATTGTGGTGTCCTGTGCAGTCAGAGCAGGGTGCTGCCAGTTCTGTGTAACTAACTCCAGCCAGCATGGCTGGGAGAGGGCTCAGCGCCTGATCTGCTGCTCTGGCAGGTTTTCCCCACAAATGCCTGAATTATTGCTGCCTTACTACTTTTTTCTGTGTGTGTAATACCACAGCTTTTTGTAGTGTTATATTGGCATAAAACTGATGATGAATAGGTTCAAAGTGTCTTACTGCTGTGAGCCAGATTCCCAGCCTTGCGAGCCTGATGATGAGGCTAAAGAACTGGGCTGGTAGCGGGGGCTGGACATGAACAAGCTGGTGCTTTAGCAAGCATGTGAGAGCCAAGTGATGTCAAGTGCTTATCTGGCTCTTATGCTCTGGTCACTACTGCTGTTTTCAGAGATCAAACAAAGACAAAATATTTCCTGAACAAGCTTATCTTTTCCTGTTTTCTCCATAACGTGTATTTTATAAGGGTACAGGGCAATGCCATGCTATGTGCTGCAGGGTCTGGGTTCCCCCAGCTGAAGCTGTCTAGCTGTAGTTGCTTTCCAGGGGCTTAAAAACCTTAAAACCCTCTGTCACCTAGATAGAGATGTACCTGGAATTTGCATTTGCCCTATGTAGAAGAAACCTAGATCAACACATTTCAGGTTCTTCACATACTGATTTAATAGGCAATTTTTTTTCCATTAGAGTGAACAGCTGACATCATGGTGGTAGATTCATTCTTTGTTATAGAATTAGGGCT